ACACCTAGGGACAATTTAGAGTTACCAATCAGCCTAACATGCATGTTTTTGGTCTGTAGGAGGAAACCGGAGCACCCGGAGAAAACCCACGCATGCACGGAGAGAACATGCAAACTCCACCCAGAAAGGCCCCTGGACCGGGGTTTGAACCAAGGACCTTCTCGCTGAGAGGCAGCAGCTCTACCAGTTGCGCCACCGTGCTGCCTATGGGACAAACCAATATTTAAAAATAAATGGTTTCAGAATGAGTACGTCTCTACTTTAAATTCCGGTCACAAGCTGTAAATATGATCTATTTTAGTTATAATTCATTTGGTGTGAAATTTGCTTTGCCTTTTTTAATTTCTTTTGTTCATTAAGAAAGTCACCATTTCCAAAACAGAGCCGCCTCATCTGGACCAAAACGCCTAGCTTTTAAAACGTTCTACAGATATAAGCGTAGGCCAGTGGTAGAAATATCCGAGTCGTTCCTGAATTCTGCCTTTATAGAAATAAGAAAAAAAAAATTCACCTTCCGTAGTTCAGTTTGATCACTTGGTCGAACAACAGTGACCAGGTGAGGTCGTTCAGCACTCTCGTCTGCATGACGGGTGTGGAAGAAAGGTAGCTGAGGAAGAGAAGGAGGGATGCAGGACCTGTGGGCATGTTTTGCAGGGTGGGGGTGGATGGGCCAAGGTTGGGGTGCCCCACCAGGACGCCTCGACAGCAGGTCAGGAGGGGCTGAAGGAAAAAGAACGAGAAACAAAAGGCAGGACAGGAATTAGTGAAAGTGAACTAAATGACAGTGAAGTCACTGCCTCAGTGGACTTCTTCTACTTGTATACAAAGAAAAGCTCACAAGTAACACAACACCACTCGCGTGTGTGTGTGTGTGTTTTCAGGAGTGTGACAACAAATCCGGCTGATCAGATTTGAGCATTTTCCATCACACCAAGGGCCATTTGAGATTCTTCAATCACCATGTCGTGCTGGTTGAATTATTTAGGCTTCCTTAAGTCATGAAACCCCTCACACACCACAACAAAAGCTCCTTCGACCTAGTTAGGGCTCAGCTGGATCTGCATGATTAATGAAGCCTTGCAGCATCTTTGACGTTTCACTTTCTAGCACAAAAAAGGAGAAATAGATGCTATCTTTTTCTTGTTTTGTTTCCAGAAACACACACAACACAATTCAGGACCCCACTGGTCCATGTCTGAGTGAGGAACAGCACACAAAAGGTTTTCTCTCAGGGTTAAATCTCACAAAGAACCAGCTGTTGCCAGACAGTGTGTCAACAGGATCTCCTTAATAATCCCATAGTAGTAGCGAGATAAGCTAACCTAGCCTGGTGCTGTCATTTCACCCTTAAAAAGTTTTATTTGCAACAGCTAACCACATTAGTTCATTTTTTAATCTAAAAAAATGCACTTCACACCACAAAAAAAAAACTCACCTGCCATTCTCCATTTGGTGCTTCGCGCCGCTTCACCTCCATCATGCCGAGCTTTTTGTGAAGGCGTCATGTATTTAAACTAATTTACAAAACTCAATAACTGAACAGTTCTAACTGAAACAATTATCACTTTTATTTTATTTTATCCTCGAGTGGCTGCTGAGTTATTCTCTGCTCCTAGCTTCCAGGAAAAGTAACGGGATGTGAGAACCGTGCAGCGACACTGGTTGCCATGGAGACACCGCAAATTAGAACCGTCAATAAGGAACAACCGGAAGTTCTGCGTTGACCGTTTCAAAATAATTAACGATGTAAACATTTATTCATTTTTCTTCCCATAATCTGGTTATGAATTTAAGCTTTGAAAAAAAAAAAAAAAAAAAACATTTTAAGCAAACTAGCAAATTTTAGTGATTAGCAATCACCGATTTAATTTTTAATATTTCAACCGGAAACGATTTTAGAACCAAACTAACTTGTGCTAATCTGGAAAAATACTGTATTAAGAGGGACAAAGGACACAGTAAGGTTTCTATACTTCATGTACACAATTCAGTCTCATGTATTTAAATGTACAAGTTTTTAAATTACTTTTAATTTGGCCAAAGGAGGCTAATACTTAATTAGCACTGCTGAATTTTGAGCTCTAAAAAAAGAATTGGAAATATTAAAAAAGCTTATAAATACTTGAAAAAAATGTTACATTAAGTTATATTTCCTGCTTGAACATTCTCAGACAAAGTTAGACTGAGCATTCAGTTAAAGTGCAGTGTAAAATATAAATACACAATGCAAGTTTAGTCATGCAAAACTAACCAGTCGACCCTTTAAAAAATACGTACCGTGTGTGTGTGTGTGTGTGTGTGTGTGGTTTAAAAAAAAAAAAAAAAATAAACGAACGTATAGCAATTACATCTTGGTTTAAATCCAGCCAAGATCTTCCTTTAACTGTTGGAAAAGGGCACAAATTAGTGGAAACTACCACTGTAAAGCTGCTAGATGTTCTCACAGAAAAGCTCGATACGTCTTTGTTATTTGCAGACGACTTAGCAAATGCATCCTACACCAGTCAGACTAAAGCAAAGTGTTGTGGGAAAAACGTTTGGTTTAAAAAAAATAAAATTGGGAAAAAATAGAGTCCCTTAAAGTAACATTTTAGCAGCAATGCTCACAGCATGCAGAACACAATCCAAAAACTACAACTTTACAATATAAAAATCGACTAGAGAGAGAGAGAGAGAAAAAAAAAAGGCATTTGCTGAACATTCAAAATAAGAAATATTGCAGATCTTTAAGCTGCTCGGCCCCCAATCTAGCCATTGAAAGCAGCAGGTAGTTTGATCCATCTACAGATGGCTGTTGGGAAAAAATGCTGAAGACCCATTTCATTTATGTCCAACCTGGCAACACATTTTGCATGAAATACTGATAGGAACACAAATTTTAGATGTTGACCCAAAGTCAGCAGACTGAGGAAAAGACAGAGTCAGGTGTACAAAAAGGCAGTTCATTTACATGTAATGTTTAGGGGCCCTGTGGTGAGGCTTGCGACCCGTCCAGGGTGTACCTCGCCCCTCGCGTAGAGATTGCTGGACATGGGCACCGGCAACCCCGTGACCCACAATGGAAGAAGCGAGTAAAAGATGATGGAAGGTAATGTTTAGGGCTGTAAGGGACAGACAAGGAGTGTATTTGTGGTTCTTCAGGTTGGCATGAACAACATCGTTTGTAGTTAATCTTGTTCTTACGGTGTTTGTCTTGTAGATGAGGAAGAAACAAAGGCCTAGGTTTCCACAGGAGGCGAGATGAGCCAGAGGAGGAGGGCATCGTTGGGAGAGGAGCAGGTTGTAGTTGTAACTGGGTGGTTTGAATCCAAGGTGGAGTTTGATGTGCAGGATTGGCGAGCCAGATGCAGCCAATGAGCCAGGAAGGAGTCACGCAGACACGACGGGCAAAACTGTTAGGTTAGTCAAGATTCAAATACAGGCTGTCGCAGAGTTAAAGGCAGTTAATGCTCCAGCGTAGGCTGAACGTCTGTCCGAGGCTTAAACAGCGCAGGTCTGGAAACGGGTGCAGCTAAATCAAAAGATTAGCTGCTGTGGAGGAAGGTGGTTAGGGAGGTCAAACTGAGAATCACACAGTCCTCTGGATGGATTCTTTGTTGAGATGTTTGTCTTTTATCCAACAGACTTCTTCAGTCTGAAACCTCGTTCATTCAGTAGCTGGGTCTGTGCCTTCTGTAGGATCTTGCTTGCCTGGTGCCCGCTGACAGAAGATTTGACTTGCAGGCTCTCGGGAAGGGTGCCACTCTGTCTGCATCGGAGGTTGAACCTCAGGTGGTTCCTCTAGTCCTTCCACCTTCTTCCTTGTCGTTTACTCAAACTCTCGAACCAGTTCGAGACAATCCTGACCAAATAGGTGCAACAAGGTAGGAACAAGATTAACGGATGTTCATTGTTTACCATAAGATATCAAAATGTCCCAGCGTAGGAGGAACGTCTGGCAGGAGCTTATATACTCAGCAGAGCAGTCTTCCCAATCAGGTGCACATGTGGAGTGGTGGATGATTAGGATGAGCGGCAGCTGTGGAGAAAGTGTGTGTGGCTGGAAACCTGCCACAGAAAGTAATTATTTTGTTAGTTCAATGTCTGACACAGAAAAGGTTTGTTTACTTGGAGCATACGAGGCTTTTAAAGCTAACATATATATTTTATCTGTATATTATACATGGATGCACAACAACTTATATACACATGTAAAGCTGTGATAGGATTATACTCTGTTAAATACTTGTACGTTTTGTGCCCTGGTAATGAATTATGTGGTTATTTTGCTGTGGAACTGCGGCTTTATATTCCTAAATAAAGTCCTTTTGATTTTGACTTGGTATGTCAAAGAGTGGGACAAAGTTTTGATGTTAACACACCGACAGCAGGGAAAATGAGCTTGCAGGCTCAAGATCAGTTCCCATAGTTGCATTAAAGGAATCCACGGGTCTCATCTGCTGCACACACACTGAAACACAAGCGATGCACTCTGTCCAGTCGATCTTTTAATACCCTGCTCCCCATGGTTCTGTCTCCAAGACTCCTGCTGCGTTTGGATCAGGAAGCATAAACTTGTGCTGCGGCTCCTTATGATGGGCTCACAACAACATGCACGTTTTCATTTTATTACCACTTGAAGCCAATTTTAAACTTTAATTCAGTTAACAGTGTATTGCAAAAAAAAGGACACACATCTTGATGTACTGTGGATGAAAAGGAGTGTTTTTAGATCATAAAATTAAGATTTTAAATAATGTCTTATAGGATAGTTTATCATATTAGTTGCAAGAGATAAAAACAACAGTGATACATACAAAAGTGAAATGGTTGCTGAGGGTATTTGTGCTGTCATCATTTTATTAGCAACGTTTCTTTACTTGAGTTCAGTGCGTCGGTTTTGAAGCAACAAATATTTAATCAAGCTCAGATTTTATACTTAATGGCAGCAGAATACCTGTGAAATCATTTAAAGTACCAGACTGTCCTACAGTGCTGTAATATCACTTAATGAGCAGCAGAGGGCGCAGCTACTGTATGCAGACTGAGGGCCAAGTTAGTTTAGTTCACTGAGGGCCACCAGTAAATCTAATATAGTTTTTGTTTGTTTGCATAAGGATATGATGCAGCTTTGATTCTGATATTTGTTTTTTTTATACACATTTTACCAAAAAAACAGGAGGAAAAAAAAGTTTGAGTTTGTTTTTGGCTCCCCGGAGGATTTGCAGAACAAATCAAGGAACTCAATCTTAAATCTGTTTGTGGAAGTAACACAAAACACGCAGTGAACTCATTTACATCAACAAAGGAGCACTTTTTAATAAAGCAGCCCTTTATTATAAACAACCTTTGACATAAAAGGAAAACTGGGATTTAAAACAGCGTCCTGATTAAAGACAGGAAACAGTTTGAGCTGTACCAAAAAAGTTCATGCTCAATAATCCAGGTATACAATCCAACAATTTTCAGTCAGGTCTTTACAGGTGATCTGTAATAACCATACAACTATCCACATGGAAAACAGGCACTCCAGTTTGATAAATAGGTGTTTTATTTTGAAAAATAGTAAACATAAAAAGTATATGAGGTCTAAAACATAAACACCAGAACATTAAAGTCATACTGGATAAAATAAAGGCAGTAATAGATGCTCAAAGATAGATGCCTTCCTGTGACAGGCAGGTTTACAGTCAAATCTAATCAGCTTTTATATTTACTGGGATAGTTAGAGCTAATGTACTTTTATTGTGAAGGTCACATTTTGGCAGTGCTTTACTTTTTAATCTAATGGCATGATTATTGAAAACACTTCATTTACTGTTTCTTATTAATGAGTCATAAGCCCTTAAAGGATTAACTTTCGGGTTAAGTTGTAAAAACTAATCATTCTTCATTCTGCTCAAGTATTCTGCCTTTCCCTTCTAAACCAGCTCCGTAAGCAATCATAAAAACTAAAAATACTTTATTTCAAAGAAAACTTCACACCAATTCTGAATACTTGTGTTTTTTATTAGCAAATATTTTTAATCAGTTATGAATTGCAAATCAACAGCTTAAAGCTAATTGCTGCCAAAATAATGCTTATTGTTTCTGTTATGCAGTTAGCTTACGTACACATTTTGTTGCCTGAACTCCATATGGACACAGGAAGTGAGAATAGGAACAGATGTTTTCAGCTGTAAAGAAGCACCTTTGGAGGCTTCATGATGGACCGACATCCAGATGTTTTCACAAAGCTGCACAGGACAGCTCAGCTCTAAAATTTCAGGATAAAATCTGCACATTCCTGGGTTTTCCGGCTCCTCCTTTGGCTCTTGTGGGACTTGGCCCAGTTTTTATGCACACAGACCTTCCTGGCTCCGTGTTCTTGTGTCAGTGTACATCTGTTTGGCTAAAGTCCTGTTGTGATAAGAACAAACGGGTTTGCCTGGATTATACAAGAGCTATGATCACATCTCCTGTG